TCATGCTTACTCCCAAAAAATTCCTGAAAAAATTATCTATTGAAATTGTTTAAAATCAGTTTATAGAATGATGAATATGTCCCCCTAACAGTGGGGAAATCTTCAAATTCAAATTAAGAGTGCAAGGTCAATATTTTTTCTTAATCCCCTTTTCAATAAAGTCTTTTCATTGAATAGAACTATTTCATGAAACTCTCCAATTTTATTTTTCAAGCTATCCTTGTTTCTCATAAAAATGAATTCCCAATCACGAGTACGATGATTTTTTTATTTTCTTTTGATGGACAAGTATTATGAATTAAGAATGAAATTTTCAATTTTTATCTGCTCCATATAGCAATTGATGGACTAATTATTAGGTTACATTGCTCCTAGTATATGTCTACAACTTAAGATGCTAAATCCCAAGTGTCAAACCTTGCTTTAATTCATTGTGATTTGTCATTGCTCGGCTCTCATTGCTATTCTTTTGTTTTATGTGAGCTGTTGAGAAAGGCACCCTTAATATTCTGCTTCTTGGTCTTCTATATCATGTTGATGTCCAGTATTGCTTTTTGTGGATTCTGTTTGGTAGTGGTCTGATGATGTTTCTTAGTCAGTTCAGAAAGGGTTAATTTTTTGAGAGGGAGTTTTATGTACTGGACTGTCATTTAGATTTGCTTTGATTGAGAATTGGACTAACCGTTGTCCTCTCATTCATAATATAAATCTTTCCTATGCTGATCAAAAAAACAAAAAAAATTGTTAGGTGCAATGCAGCTAAGAAATTAAGTTTTTTATCTACAGATGTTGGTGTGATGAGTGGGGCAATCATATTCATACAGGAGGATTTGAAAATAACTGAGGTACAGGAAGAAGTTCTTGTAGGGATTTTAAGCATCGTCTCACTTTTGGGCAGTTTAGCTGGGGGAAGAACATCAGATTTAATTGGTAGAAAGTGGACAATGGCCTTAGCTGCTCTTATCTTCCAAATTGGTGCAGCTATAATGACAGTTGCACCTTCTTTCAAAATATTGATGATAGGAAGGCTGTTGGCCGGGGTTGGCATAGGCTTAGGGGTTATGATTGCTCCAGTGTATATTGCAGAGATATCACCAACTGTTGCTAGAGGATTCCTTACTTCCTTCCCAGAGATTTTCATAAATGTTGGTATCTTGCTTGGCTATGTCTCAAACTATGCATTTTCTGGTCTTTCAGTGCACATAAACTGGAGGATAATGCTGGCTGTGGGAATTTTGCCTTCAGTCTTTATAGGGTTTGCACTGTTTTTCATCCCTGAGTCGCCAAGGTGGTTGGTGATGCAAAATCGAGTTGATGAAGCAAGATTGGTGCTGTTAAAAACAAATGAAAATGAAGCAGAAATTGAGGATAGACTTGCAGAAATTCAACTGGCTGCTGGAATTGGCAATGCAGATAAGTTTGAACAGAAAGCCGTGTGGCATGAACTGTTATGCCCTTCTCCTTCTCTTCGTAGGATGCTGGTTGTTGGCTTTGGAATACAGTGTTTCCAACAGATCACAGGAATAGATGCAACTGTGTATTATAGTCCAGAAATTTTCAAAGATTCAGGCATTGAGAATAACTCTAAACTCCTTGCTGCAACTGTTGCTGTTGGCATCACTAAAACTGCCTTTATTTTAGTTGCTACTTTTCTTATTGACAAACTAGGGAGAAAACCCTTGCTCTATGTGAGCACAATTGGAATGACTATCTGTCTGTTTACTCTGGGCCTTAGTCTTGCTTTACTGGGAAAGGGTCAGCTTGTCATTGCATTGACAATCCTCTGTGTGTGTGGGAATGTAGCATTTTTTTCCGTGGGAATGGGGCCTATTTGCTGGGTTGTGACATCAGAAATCTTCCCTTTAAGGTTGCGTGCTCAAGCATCTGCCCTTGGTGCAGTGGGTAATAGAGTTTGCAGTGGCTTTGTTGCCATGTCTTTCCTCTCCCTCTCAAAGAAGATTACTTTTGGAGGAACATTCTTCATCTTTGCAGCAATGTCAGCACTCTCTGTTCTCTTTGTTCACACCCTTGTTCCAGAGACTAAAGGAAAATCATTGGAGCAGATTGAGTTGCTATTCCAAGATCAACCTAAATGGCAGGGTGGCGAAATGGAAATGGGAGATGTTGAGCATCTAGTTCACAAAGCAGGAACAAATATTGCTTAGCAAGGTCTATTTAACAAGAAAATATACTCCAGTTCTTATATATTTGGTGCGTGGAGTGGTGAGAAGGCATTCTATGTTTACTTGAGCTTATCAACATGCAGAAAATGGATTGTGAAAGAATCCTTCCTAGTTCCTGGCTCCTGCCTTACATCCATCAGGTACCTTCAATTCAAAGTTATTCTGTGAGTTGATAACCAAGGGAGGAAGTTTAATGTATATTTGAGTTATACTATTGAAGCCAGAAGCATATACCTGAAGACATTATTGCTATACAAATACTTTAGAAGTTACGTAGTCTTGAGATCGAAGAGAAAATTGTTACATCCTTAGATTGATAGCTTGTATTCTAAAATTCTGTGTATCAGTAATTGTTGAAACAGTCTTTGAGAAATTCTAATAAAGTTTATCATCCAATTGGTGGGTGCTGAATACTTGCAATACAGAACTGGCATCATAGAAACCCTCTTGCTACTTCTTGGAAGGATAAAGATGTGTGCACACCCGGATCCCACACCCGGATGTGCACACACCCCATTAACAAAAAAAAAAAGGATCCACACCCGGTCCATGTTTTTTTTTTTATGTGGTGTGTGCACACCCGGGTGTGGGATCGGGGTGTGCACACATCAGGGTCCCTCTTGGAATTGTGGTTAGCTTTCCAGAATGTAGTTCAAAGAACATTGAATACTGATTTTCATAGGATTATCTCATCTGATATGTGGAAAGAGGTGCTTGAAGGTTAATGCTCAGTGTTAACAGGAAAGGTTGATACTTCCTTTTAAGGGTATTTATAGTGTAGTTTGGTTCAAATTTTAATATTTTTTAAATTAATCTAATTTAATTGATTAGTAAAATTTTTAAATCACTCCAATCTATTATTACATGATAACTAAACTAATCAAATTTAAATTAGATCAGTGTGGTTCAATTGGATTATTTAGTTTTTAACACTTTTAAATATATGAGATAATATGAAAAATTTTAATATTAAGTAGAAAATATAACTACAAAATACATTAACATTTAACTTAATAAAAACTTAATTAAAAAAGACATAAATTATAAATAATTTCTTATACTCATTTACAATTATAGAGATTAAAAAAATCTAAAATTTCATATTCGTTCTATCATTAGGGACACTAAAGATAATAAAAAATGGTTTCAAATTTCAAATAAATTACAAATAATATTTAAATGTTAAAATTAATTTTTTTATAATTATAAAATATATTAACATTTAACTCAGTAAAAACATAATTAAAAAAAGCATAAATTATAAA